GTTAAACTTTGAACATTTACCATTATAGTATGTAATCGTTAAACTTTGAACATTTTCTATTAGTCTATTATGGTTTGTAATCATTAAACAATATTTGTAACCATTATTCTATATAATTTGTATTCTTGCTTATTTATTTAGTGTTTTGGCAATATTTTATTTTTTATTTCTAAATAACAAAATTTTAATATTTTAGGAAGCGGGTACCCGGAACCGGAACCGGTTCCCGGCGGTTCCGGTTCCGGTTCCAAAAATTTAAGAACCGCTCTAACCGGTTCTTGTTCCGGTTCCAATATCTCAAGAACCGCCGGTTCCGGTTCCGGTCAAAAAAGGCGGGTACCCGCCTATGCTCACCCCTAATTAAAAATAATTTACCAAAAAATTATTAAATATTTTATTTTTATGGTAAAACTTAAAAACTAGTGGTTTATTTTTTAATAAATAAATCTATATTATATTATAAAACATTTGACAAAAACAGAGGTTTTTTCTAAACAAGATTTTGAAGAAAATAAGCTAATCGGGATTTGAGAAGGGGGTTATAGAGAAGGTGATCGGAGATGGGTCAAAGGGAGAGAGAAGAGGGTTTTTTGATTAATATTTGTTTTTTTTTGTGCACGAAAGAAGATAAAATAACGGGAAAGTGTAAAATGACGAAAATGTCCCTTGTTTAGATGTTGTTAACTAGAAAAACATAATAAGCGTTAGTTGAAGGAAAAGTTCATAAATTCAACGAACTTTTTCATTTTGAATAAAGTCCCTAAACTATTTTTTTTAATGAGAAACCAAAAGGTTGTATATAATCGACAAGAAAGGTTTTAAAATAAAAAAAACTCTAAATCAGTTTTATCGTTCCCAAAACCTACGACATCAAACTACTTTTGCATATAACGACATAGTTCTCCCTCGCCACTCCTCGTCTCCCCGTCGCTCGTTGTTTTCCTTACCGCCTATCGTTGCATTTGGCCCCTGTCATCGATCTCCCTCTTTTTGATCTGTTTTTATTTTGTCTTCTGATTCTCTTCTTTTGTCTTCCGATTCTCCCTATTTTACAACAGTTTAATGAAGCACATATAGACAAATCAAAAAATATGGAGAATCGAAAAAAAAGAAAAAAAAAAAGAGGGAGGTCGATAGCAGCAGCCAACAACAGTTATAGAGAGCAGGTGATGAGGGGTTTGAATGACCTAGGTTTTGGGTAAAACTGATTTATGTTTTTCTTAATTTAAAATTTTTATAGCTTGTGTTTTTTTGTTTAAAAATATGTAGACAATTAAATTTTAAAAGCTCGATTATCTATTTATTAAAAAAAAGTTTACGGACTTAATCATTCAAAATAAGAAAAATTAATGTTTTTATTTAAAATAAAAATTAAAAAATTAATCATTTAAAATAAGAAAATTTGTTAGGTTTTTCTAGATTTTTCTCATTGTTCTAAAGGACACGTCTTGACGCGGTCAAAAATGTAATTCACTCTTTAATTTATCCCAATTGACGAAGTTCTTGATAATTATAAAATTATTTAACAAAAAACGTAATTTCTTAATCATCGAGACAAAAATCACGATTTTTAACAAACCATATATATATATATATATATATATATAATATATATATATATATATATATATATATATATATATATATATATATATTGAGAAAGTGAGTTAAAAATCATAATTTACTCTTAAACGATTACCACGTGCTTTTCACATTACAACAAAACCCTCAAGATGCATACTCTATAAATTAGAAGCTCTTCCAAAGCTTCAATCTCATCCCACAAAGTCCCAATCCCCCTTCTTATCTTTCTTTCTCCAAAAACATGAAACTTTTAGTCTTTGTTATATCGATTTCGATCATCGTTTTGTTTCTTGGAGATGCAAACGGTGAAGTGTTCGGTAATACCAGAAAACTGATCGAAAAAGCCAACAGCAACGGACCTTATCTCGGCGTAGTTATTCCTAACCTTTTCGAAATGAACCCTCTTCTCAATTATCCCGAATACAAGGCTACCAACCTCGTCATTGATATCGGAGGTACGTATATACACAAAAATGGACGTTAATTTTTAAAGAAACGTTTAACCACCTTCATAAAAACTGATAGATCTAGCAAACTAATTCAGTGACGTTATAGTTTAGCTAAGTTGGTCTTGTTGAATACAGGTCTACATGTATGACAAGTCTAAGGGGCTGTTTACTAAACGCTTATTTGGGTAAACAGCCCCTAAGTATATAATTACTAATTAAACTAAAAATATATATAAAAACGATGATTAATAACGCATTTGATTTGTACAGGAAGGAGATTCCGATTTGGATCAATTGGCGAGAAACAAGTCATTTTGGTTATGACTGGTTTAGGCATGGTACAATAAATTTTTGGGAGTTGTTATTTTATCTGATTGGTTTTTCCGTTATAAACCGTTTTTCTTAAAAATTATTACTCATTTAAGGTAAAATTACCGAAGAATCGGATAAATCTGATTGAATGTACAACAGCTTAATGCAGGAGTTACAACACAACTTTTGCTAAGTTTGTTTGACATAGAAGGAGTTGTACATTATGGAATTGCTGGGAATGCAAACCCTTCACTCAATATTGGAGACGTTGCCATTCCTCAATATTGGTCTCATTCTGCTCTTTGGAGTTGGCAGGTATATACACCACTAATCAGTAATCAAATACAAACCAAAATTTATGAGATCCGTAAAAACTTCTATCTTAAGATTTTGTTTAACATGGTTTTTTCCATGTAAGTATAGAATTTAATGTATTGATTAACATATATTTGTTTCACGATGTATTTGTTTCACAATTTGAAACTTTTTTCTTTTGCATATGTTTTGTTTTATAGAGACACCAAAAAAGCTCACTACATTAAAATCCAGCCATAGATGAAAAAAATCATATAAAATACAATGTGAAGCACTTGTTATATTATCGATCTCACGATTAAAAGTGATTTCAATTGTTATTTGATTATTAATAACAAATACTTATTCAATGAAATAGCAAATTATAAATTATATCTGATAGATATATAACGATCGAGATTGATATTTGCAGAGATATGGAAATGGTCCAGAAAACGAGTTACCTCTTGAAGCCTTTGGAGACTATACAAGAGATCTCGGCTACCTGAAAATTGCAAATTATTCCACCGATCTTGGAACGGATAATTTCTTGAACAACATTTGGTACCAACCGGAGGAAATTTTTCCGGTTGACGGAACACCGGAAGAAAGACAACATGCCTTTTGGGTTCCCGTTGACCCCACTTATTTTGAACTAGCCAAAAATCTTGAGGTATATACATGCATACATATATATATATATAGAGAGAGAGAGAGAGAGAGAGAGAGAAACTTCAAAGCAAAAGCAATATTTTCAAATGTTGTAACCAATGCAACCCAATAAAATTTAATACTAACCGTAGATCATCCTTTTTAAATGAAAAATTAAAGAACACTCTAGTAAAGATTCATCTGAACGATATATGCATATGTACATATTGTAAGCAATCAATTTTTTTTTTACGGTTATTATCTGAAGCTGTATATATATTTCACTTTAGCCCTAATTTTAGCCATAATAAAATTAAACAGTACAATTGAACACTTTTGTCTCTATATATATATATATATATTATATATATATAGGCGTTGACGCTAGAAGGGTGCCTAGATGCGGATACATGCTTATCCACGCCACCGAAGGTCACCACCGTGGAGCATGGAACAAGTGCCAGTATTTACCTGGACAACGCCGCTTACCGGAGCTTTATTTACGACAAATTCAACATCAGTCCGGTGGAGATGGAAAGCGCCGCCGTGGCTCTCATCTCTTATCAGCAACGAGTGCCTTTTATCGTATTTAGGGCACTTTCTGATCTTGCCGGCGGCGGTGAACACTCTAATGAGGCCGATACGTTCACCCCCCTGGCGGCTAACAATTCCGTCAAAGTGGCGGTGGAGTTTATCAAGTTGATCCCAATTCAAAATAAGATTTCCTCCGTTGTTGGTATTTAGAAATCTTGAATTTATATCATGGAAGTGTAATAAGTTGTAGCATTTAAACACGCTGTCGGTTTGTGTTCCTCATGATTTGAATAAAAGTGGAGGCTTTCTCAGTTGTTTGAGTGAATAAAACACAACTTGCAAAAGAACGATCAGATGCAGATGAACCCAGATGCAAAAGCTCGTTGATCAAATGCAAATGAAAAGATGTAGAAACTCGCCAAATTCATGTTAAGTCTGAACCGAACAAGACGAGCTCCTCTATAAACCGGCTCTAAACACAGGGCTGAAACCTCAACACCCATCCATCTACAACAAATTAAGGCTGGGAGGAATTAAACCATGAACCCTATGAAAGAATCAAAAGTTTAAGGTTCGACTAACAAAGTTCAAGCTCTGCATCTGTATAAAGGAAGAGAGAGAGAGAGAGAACACTGAGCCTTCATCTACAGCAAAGTTGTAGTTTGAACAAAAAGTTTTTGACTTGAGTTCTGAAAATATTTGATTTAAGGTTTATTCTTGATCTTTTCTTTTGAAGAAGATGAAAGATGGGAGGAACGAAGGATGATGATGTTTAAAGATAATAAATTAAAGAAAGGGTTAAATTAACGAAATAACAACTTATTTTTATAAATTTTTTATTATAAAATTATATTTTTTTTATTACAACAATTTATTTTTAAATTATTTTTTATTAAAACATCTTTAAAAAAATATACTTATTATAGCAATAGATAACCTCTTATTTTTAAAATCGGTTAACTTCTTGATTTTTTATTGTTTTACTTTTTAGTTCACCTATGAAATTTATACAAAAATCACTGTTTCACATTATGATTTTACCTATGAATTTTCTGATTTTATCTTTAAATAAAATTTATTTAAATATTATTATTAATTATTTTCCAAAAATAAATATGAGTATCTTTCAAAAATTAAAATTATTAAATAATATTATTGATTATCTTTCGAACATAAAAAATATTTTATTCCAAAAAATATCCTTTATTTAATATTGTCTAATTTGTTTCCTTTTCTAATAGATTATAATCTCTCATAATTTACTCTTAAAACGTTACAACAAAACCCTTATGACGCATACTCTATAAATTAGAAGCTACTCAAATGCTTCAAAGTCCCAATTCCCCTTCTTATCTTTCTTTCTCCACAAACATGAAATTTTTGGTCTTTGTTATATCGATTTCGGTCATCGTTTTGTTTCTTGGAGATGTGAACGGCGAAGTGTCTGGTAATACCAGAAAACTGATCGAAAAAGCCAACAAAAAGGGACCTTATCTCGGCATAGTTATTCCTAACCTTTTTTAAATGAACCCTCTTCTCAGTTTTCCCGAATACAAGGCTACCAACCTCATCATTGATGCCGGAGGTATGTATTTTATAAACAAAAACAGACGTTCATTTTTAAAGAAATGTTTAACCACCTTGATAAAACAGATAGATCCAGCAAACTAATCAGTGATATTGTAATTTAAGGGTGCGTTTGGTATGCAGACTATATGGGATGGGACGGGAGAAAAAAAATAGTCTCATGTTTGGCATTCCATGGGCAAAAAATACATAGGACAAGATGAGACTATTTTCAAATTTCATAAGACAACTTGATAATTTTTGTTCCACCAAAAAAGGTGGAACAACATGGGACTAAATATAAAATGACTATGTTACCCTTAGACCAATTTGAGATTCAAAACTCAATTAATCATGTCCCGTCCTATCCAGTCATGTCTCGTCATGTCTTGTCCTGTCTAGCTTGCGTATCAAACGCTACCTAACAAAACTGCTCGACGTCAGATACAGACCATGATGACTTGCTCCAAGATTTCTTTACTATGTCATTACTTAAGATTATGCTTTATATCCATCATTTATTTATATACATAAATAATAATTAAATATTCTTTTTATTTAAAACCAACCATCTTCCTTTCAAATGTTATCATTGGCATTTAATTAATCGTTGAATACAATTCTACATGTTTGACAAGTCTAAGTAGGGGTGTTTATGGGTTAAGTTGGTCGAGTTGAAAACATTTAAACAATTCAATTTAATACTTGTGGTTTGAATAAATATTAACCCATCTCAAACCAAACCAAAGTGCAACCCAACCCAACTCAAACTGTAAAGTTTAGTCGGGTTGATACTTTGGTACATTAAAATATTTTCTTCTAATCTTGAGTATGTTATTTCTCTTTTCATAATTTCTTTTTCATCATTCAATCATTTGTTACAACTTATCCATATTTTTTACGTATATCATATTCGGTTAATTTTCTTAATTTACATATATATGTTCACATTTACTGAACATATATACGAATGAGTTATCTAGATATGTGAATAGCCTGAAAATATGTGTATATGAAAAGCGTACGTGATAATGTAATTGTCTAATGTATATATTAATAGAAAATTCAATAACCATATTAAAATCCAAGAAATAAAATGATATCGGGTTCATCGGGTTGGGTTAGGTTCAAATAACAGTAACCCAATATCAAATCAATACCTATGGTTTGAAAATTTTAGAACTCGATTAGACATCGGGTTGCTTTGAGTTGAGTTATTTTGTGTTGGGTTGGATTGATCGGGTTTTTGAGCGCCCCTAAGTCTAAGTATATACTTACCAATTAAACTTTATATATGTTTTTTAATTAGCATTGAAAAATATATAAAAACTATTACTAATAACACATCTGATTTGTACAGGAAGGAGATTTCGATTTGGATCAATTGGCTAGAAACAAGTCATTTTGGTTATGATTGGTTTAGGCATGGTACAGTAAATTTTTTAGAGTTGTTATTTTATCTGATTGGTTTTTCCGTTGTAAACCGTTTTTCTTAAAATTTATTACTCATTTAAGGTAAAATTACCGAAGAATCGGATAAATCTGATTGAATGTACAACAGCTTAGATAAAAATCATTCTTTTACTTTTTGGTTCACCTATGAACTTTGATTATCTGGTTTCACCTATGAACTTTATACAAACATCATTGTTTCAATTTCTGATTTTATCTTTAAATAAAAATCGTTTAAATATCTTCTATACTATATTATAAAACATTTGGTAGAAACTCTTAAAAACCATTTTTTTATGCATTAAGTATTGTTTATTGATACATATTATTTAAAATTAAAGATTACAAGTAATTGTGCGTATATCTATCTTATTAAAGCTCCATATGCTCCATATTTGAATTCATGTAACTAACTGTAAATAAATATAATCCAATATTGGATAGGTATCTCATTTTAAAAATAAAAAATTTAAAATATATTTAGAATAATTATTAAATTCTAACAAAATATTAATTATTTTATTTATAAAAAAAATATTTTTAAACCAAAAACAAATGAATTCATTATTAAATCTAAATTAAATTATTATAAAATTTTAAATTAACGAAATTACACAAAAAAAAGTGATTTTAAATATTTAATTTAATACTAAAATCGATACATTTTCTTTCAAAATTTTATGATATCTTCAAATTTATATTTTTTTAAAGATTAAAAACATTATCGTTTTTTCAGTACCACATAAAATCGTATTATAACATCGATGGAGACAAAATAAAACGAAACATTAAAATCGAGATGTATTTCGGTGTATTGCGCGAGTACATTTCTAATTATTAATTACTTTCCAAAAATAAATATGAGTATCTTCCAAAAATTAAATTCATTAAATAATAGAGAAGTTTATAAAAATAACCGGTTTACACAACCTTTTGCCACAAAATAACCACATTTTAGAGATTTTACCGTAATAACCACATGGATCACCCCCGGGGGCGATCCGTACACTATGGGGGCGATCCCCCCATTAAGTCTTAAAAAAAATTTCTCAAAAGTCGAGATTACTGTTTATTCTCTCGTTGACCGTGTTTGACCTCGCCCCCGGGGCGATCCGTACTGTATGGGGGGCTATCCTGGGCGATCCGGGTATTTTTTTTTTTTGTATTTTTAATAAAATTGATACGCCATTGAAGTTGTATTTTTTAACTTTTTTATAACCAAATTTCATGGGTAAAGGTTTAAAAATAAACCTTTATAATTATGGAGAAACAAAAATTATTTTTATCTGTTTTGGGTTTCGTAAATCAGATATAATATCTAATTGACGAAATTTGACCTCTATTTTGTCATTTTATGTTTTTTATTTAACAATTAAGGGGTGTTTTTAATAAAAATAGAAAAATATATAAAATGTGTCTTTTTACATAAAGTGGGGGAGGTTATCGGAAGGTACTCTAAAACACCATTTATATCTTGGAATAAACCGCCACTTCGAAGATACACACAAACATTATCACTTTGACGTGATTTYATGTTTTGTGATGGTTGATTGTGTTTAGTGGGTTAAAGGTTGTGATGGTTTATTGTGTTTAATGAGTTAAGGGTTGTGTGAGTAAAATATATGAGAAGAGAAATGGAAGGGAATGTGTGAAAAATTATGAAGTAGGAGGTTGATATTTATAGTGAAATTGGTATTAGGAAAAAAAATCAATTTTTTTTTTACCCGGATCACCCCCCGTACAGTACGGATCGCCCTGGGGGAGAGGTCAAACACGGTCAACGACAATGAACAGTAATCTCGACTTTTGAGGAATTTTTTTAAGACTTAATGGGGGGATCGCCCCCATAGTGTACGGATCTCCCCCGGGGGCGATCCGTGTGATCATTCCGGTAAAACCTCTAAAATGTGGTTATTTTGTGGCAAAGGGTTGTGTAAACCGGTTATTTTTATAAATTTCCCTAAATAATATTATCGATTATCTTTCAAACATATAATATGATTATCTTCCAAACATAAAAATAATTTGTTTCAAAAATGTCCTCATTTAATATTGTCTAATTTGTTTCCTTTCCTAATAGATTATAATCTCCCATTAATCACAACTATTGATTAAAAAAACTAAAAGGATTAGATCGGTTAACACTGTTAATACTATTTTAATTGGTCAACAAATGATTGCATCTCTCTCTCTCTCTCTCTCTCTCTCTCTATATATATATATATATATATATATATATATATATATATATGGGTTGGGTTCGGTTGAGAAGGCGTAAGAAAGATCTTCACCATTAGATGCGCATTATGATGAGATACATCAAATCAATCCTCGTATCAAGAGCGATTTATGGGTGGTTTGAAATTAAAGGTGACCAAGGGTCCGATCCCACGATGGTTCGTCTATATATACGTGTGTGTATATATATATATATATATATATAGCAATCCTAATTAATAATCATGATACAAGCATCGGTTATGATTTGTATAGTTTGTTAGAGTTAGTCAAACGTTTGTATACTTTGTTAGAGATAGATGGTTTGTTAATGGAACGTTACCTTAGGGGTTGTTTAGTAGTTATTGAATGGTTTAGTGCAGAATGATTAAGAGACTCTCATGATATAGTATAAAATGAAATATAATTGTTTGATAATTGTTTATAATGAAATTAGAGCGCTTAATGGTTAAGGGAGACCCATGATGCAAAATTATTAAGAGAATTTTAGAACCATTATGAGGCAAACTTTTTTTTGCCAAACAAGATTCATCTCTGAACGATTCAGAGACTGCTTCTTAATGAAATTGTTAAGAGGTAAACAAACAACCCCTTAAATATACATAGATCATCTGTATGCGAACAAAATCCCGCCTATCCACATCTCCCGTCCCTCCGGCCCTCCCCATTTCCAGTCATCTTCAGTGATCTTCTGCAACTAACATCGGTGATCGGCCTTATTCCCTTCCCTCCATTTCCGCCATCCGACTCCTTCAAAAACCACAGACCACACGCTAAGACTAAACGCTTACTTGGTAAGTGCTTACCGGATAAATTTCCTCATCGGATGAATATGACAAATGACAATGGCCAAAAATCTTACAGAGTAAGAGCAATGAGAAGGATAGAGAGTTTTACCCGGTAAGTGAAGATGACGACTCTTACCCAGGTAAGTGCTTACCTGATAAATTGTTGCATCCGATGTTTTTTGACGTACTAAAATCTCACGCATCAAAATAAATTATAGTGTTAGACTCGTATCAGTAAGCACTTATTGGGTAAACATCCCCTTAGTTATATTATGTGATGTTGAGTGCTGAATCAGGTTCATATGGTAATATGAAAACGACCGAATCACATGTGATTTAATTTACATTAACATCACGTATAAAATCACATATGATTCACGTGACTTTTTAGCCACAGACTCTTGTGTTGACCATGTTTTATCATCGCATATAAAAATCAAGTTGTTATCCTCAGTTCCAGCAATTATATATAACAGCAACCATCTTTCTATAACAGCAATTAGGAATAACCAAACTGTTAAGCTAAGCTGATTGAATGCATGTACAACAGCTTAATGCAGGAATTACAATGCAACTATTGCTGAATTTGTTTGACACAGAAGGAATTGTACATTGCTGGAAACATCAACATCCCCTTTGTCTACCGTTTTGCCTTCCATTAGATTTCAAGAATTTTGTTTTCTTCAATCAATAAATTTGGTAACTTTTATAATTAAAATTCATTTACTCAATATTTTTATCAAACAAAATATAGACCGGGGATAAAATGATCATTTCTGTCATTTAGACAGTTTATTCAGCAAGACAACCGAACAACTTATATGTTGTCATACAGACAAGTTTATCAATACAGGCATCTTTATCGATACAGGTCTTAATAGAAAATGAACCGAACACTAATATAGCTTACACATTGCATTACAATAACTTTGCAAGTTATGACTGATCTACAGTTGAACTTCCATGCTTAATATCAGAATCTTCTTCTCCGATCAGCTCATCTGATAACTTACTCTTTTCAGGCGAAATACTCCGGTGAACACGGCAACAGATCAAGAAGTAGAAAAAGTTGAGCAAACTCACGAATGCAAGAAACCAGTAATAGTAATCTATATGACCCTCATTGATATCGCTCGATAACCAACTTACCTTACCTTCTTCACTCGTCACCGAGTCCACAACGCTGATCAAAAGGCTTCCAACGAGGCCCGATATCGCGACGCTCATCATGTACAACGCCATCACAACACTCGACATACTTTTTGGAAGTTCCGAGTAAAAAAACTCTATCTGCGCAATCGCATTGAACGCCTCGGCTACACCTAGCAACGCATACTGTGGAACCAACCACATTGACGACATGACGATTGTCGTATTCGGGTTGTCATGGGACCTTGACAAGTCCCGCCGTACGGTTTCCACGACCGCTGATACCACCATGGCCCCGACTGAGATTAGAAACCCGATTCCCATCCGGGTTTTTGGAGGTAGCCCGCGAGGCTCGTGTGTGTGCTTTGCTAGAAGTGGAACCAAGATTCGGTCATAAAATACAATCCATATTGAGACTGTCAAGACCAAGAACACGTTGAACGATCCAGCCGGGATCTCGAACCATGAGGTGACTTGTCGGTTCATTGTTTTCGCTTGGAGTGTTGGGAAGTTCTGTGAAGCGACGGTAGATAGCAAAATCCCCGAAGACCACACGGGTACTAACCGAATTAGCGATTTGAGTGATTCCACCTTTTCGACAGTGGAGAGACTCGATGGATTCAAGACCGAAGAATCCATGTTCGAATCTCTGACAACGCATGCCTTATTGAGAAACCTAAAGAGTTCGATAAAATGAGTCATTTAACATGCCCTGAGGTCGTAGCCCAGTTCACCACAACAAAACTGACTTTATAAGACGCCAAAATATGTGTCTTAATAGATTGCTTCATAGGTCCTGAAGAAAACATCAAGATTAAAGCAAATATTTTTTTCCGATCTATATCCCCAACTATTTTCATGTTAGGATCGTAGTGATTTATCAAGTTAACGTCATAAAAAAAAGACTAGTATCAGGCTTTATTTCCAAAGTGTACGGAACAACTTATCACGATGCTCAAAAACGTCATGTCAACTTATTTTAACACCTTTACGTGTAACGCATACTTGTTTGGTCTTGTAAACTTAAATCCTATAAAGCAGGTTTACGACATTTACACATATTTTGCATCCGATTTTGTTATAGTAGTTTGTTCCAAAGTGGTATATATACTTGCAATAACTCGAACTTAATTCTGTAGTAAAGATCGAACCTTAAGCTCTCGGTTAGCTCAACTCGATCCATTCCATTGGCATGATTGTAGCAGTCATCGCTAGAAAGACTGATCTTACGGTTCTTAAAAGCAAGGATCAAAACTTGAATAAACCCTGAAAACGGGCTCTGGCTGACTTCGATTTTGACATAAAGAGACGAGCCGAGTAAGAACATAAGAGTGGAACAAAGCATAATCAAGACAGGAACCGCAAACCCGACCTCCCAACCAAACTGATCTTGAATGTAGACCACGAAAGTAAACGCAAAAACAGTAGAAATGGCTATTGATGCATAGTACCAATTAAAGTAACTATCGATGATCCTCAGGTTGTCGATGGAGGCTCGATCGTGTTTTCGTAATTGGTCTGCACCGAAGGCTATGGAACATGGTCCGATACAGCCAGATCCGATCGAGAGTAGACCGAAACACGAGAAAAGAAAAGCGAGTTGGGTTGCTGTTGCAGGGCTGCAACTCGAGTCGAGTTCGTGGCAAGATGAAGGTCTTAATTGTGGGAACATGGTAGTCAACCACAAAAAAGTCATCCCCTGTAACAAAAACAATAACCCCAATTGATTTTCATATTTTGATCGATTGATTCTTAACATGAATCTTAAATCAACAGCTTAATGAAATAACGTAATAAATGGCGGGTGGAAGACTTACAAGAAGAGCAGAGATAGACCCCATAACGATGACCCGAAACCGACCCAAATAAGAATCGGAGATGATAGCACCAAAAATGGAGAGACCATTTGAAAAAGCCGACCAAACAGAGAGTATGCTTGTTCCAGTTGCTGCTTCCATGTGATAAACCTCCATCAGATAGAATATCATATTTGGCATCAATCCATAACTCGCTACTTTCTCAAATGCTTCGTTCACTGTCCCAAAAAACCAAATCAAAATCAAATATATAAAACCCTAAATTGATACGATCTAGGTTAAGTTCATCCGTACTCGATCGAACTCACAGGACCTGGTGGACCGATTAGGGTTTTCTGTGAGCTGATCTGAGTGCAGATGGAAGTGGAAGAATTGAGGGTTTTGACGTACCTATAATGAAGGGCATGGTTTTCATACCACCCTTACGATCATGACGATCGGGAGTGAGTAATTTGATTTGTAGTTCTTCATTCGAGTCTCCTTCCATGGATAATCGACGATTTTCCATCGTTTGATCGACTTTGATTAGGAATTTGCGATCTGTTGTTTGGTGATTTGGAATCGGAGTGACGGTGACGCCATGGCCGGCCCCAGCCTATTACCCAGGAAAGGGATTATTGATTTGATCGTAGTCGACATGCAATTCACATTGTCAAGGGCCCTGGAGGCTAATAGCACCCTATTAATTGTTATTGACACTCTTAAATTTAGTTTAATCATTATTGTTTTTATGGTTTTTAGTGTTTTTTTATTTATTATTATTATTATGTTTTATTTTATTGTTATTTTAATTTATTTTTAAAGAAATTTTAATTTAATATAAATTTTTTATTTTGTTTTTTTCTGTTT